CTGTACTTATTCTGAATCTGTACCTCGACAAGAGCTTTGGCATGCTTTCCTCTGTCCCATAAACCACCTCCTTTTTTCATAACATCTATAATTTTAGTCCCAAATCGTTACTAATCCTTAAGCAGCCAACATGTTTTTAGACTTAGCAAATTTTTATCATTCTTGACTCATCATTGTTTCTTATATTCCATTTCCTGGATTAGTTTTTCTTCTTGCCAGAGAACATTAATTAGTAGTATTCTTTCAAAAAGGAATTGTTTCTGATGCCATATGATCTGAGACCTCCCATGTCATTAGGAAGTGTTTTTATTCTTACATTCAGCTGGGTATAGAACTCTGAGTGTGCAATTGTTTTCCCTCAGGATTTGGAGATAATTACTACCTTTTTTTCTTGTTTCTAGTATTTGTTACATTCTCTTACAAGTTGTCTGGTTTCTGTTTGGAAATATTTAGGCTCTAGTAAAACATCAACCCCTGTCCAGTTGTAGATTCATCCTGCCTGGCCCTTGTGGCCTCTTTCAATCTGAGTTCCAGGACATTCTCAGCTTTGGGAAGTTCCCTCCGGCATCTTTGTCTCCTTTTGGACCAAAAAATGAACTCTGTCCTTTGCACCTACACCTTCGTCCCTCGTCCTTTCATGCTGTGAGTCCTCGGCTTAATCATCCAATGCATCTACTTGCTCTTCAACTGCGTCCACTAACCCATCCAGCCCATTTATCAAGTTTCTCCAATGACCAGATTTAATTTTCCAAACACTCTAGTTGGCCTTTTTGAGGTCGCAGTGTAAGACTAAGGCTCTCTGCCTAAGGCTGTTGAGTATTCCTGCTCCAAGTTCTAGTTTTCATCATACCTGTTCCTTGGGTATCGTTCCCTTGTTCAGGCGTCTGACAACTGTTGGTACCTGAGGTTCACCCCAGCCACATAGCCCTCCCACATGCGCAAGAACAGTCACCCCTAAACAATGCCCCATGTGCTGGGCTGGGGGCTCCCCACCCCCCTGGGGCCCTGCCCAGCCCTTTAGCCTGGCTCCCACACTCAACCCCCCAAACACAGATGCCGGTCTTCTCTGCTTGGCCCAGGTGTGTGTGGGGGTTGAGGGTGATGAGGAAGAGGGCTCAGCTTACCTTGTGGCTCCCACTGAGGTGCCCTAAACAGATGTCCTGTGAGAAGCCGGGCCCCTTGAGCCCCAGACCCCACCCCCCCAGGCTCCCTCCTTCCCTCAGGCCCCACTGCCGCCCACATTTAAGGTGTTCCCCCACAGTCTCAGGTTCACCTCCTGGAAGGGAAATTTGTCCCACATGGCTGGGGCCTGGAACCATGGCAAGTGGTGGGGTTTCAGTGCGAGTCATCCACACTTGGGGCTCCTTTCTCCCATCCCGGCCTCAAGCAGCAGCTGTGGGTGGTGGCAATGGCACAGCCTTTGGCATTTGGACCAAACTCGGGCTCCACATTCTCACCTTCAGATTTCACAAAATTAAAATGAACTTATCTTACTCAACCTTGTGGTTAAGATGGACAACTTGGTTTGCGCCCAGCCCTCCCCCTGCTCCCAACTCTTTCCACTCGCTTAGCGGGTACTCCCATCCCCCAGCATCTGAGTCCAGGCAGTTAGTGCCGAGGAGGTCCGAGGAGGACAGAGCCATGGCCCACAGCCCGTGTTTAAGTCTGAGGTCAGGGGCTCCGATGCCACCAGGGTCCAGGACTCCTGGGTCGTGGGGCAGGGAAGAACCCTCAGCTCCAATCAGAGCAGTCATGCCCCCCACTTGGCCCCTGGGCCAGACCCCTGGGTGCCTCACCCCAGAAGGAATATGTCCACCTGTAAACGCATCTGAGGGCTCCTGCTTGCACCTCTGGTTCGTATGGAGCCCGTGAAGGAGGGGAGCCAGGAGGTGAGGCTGCTACCATAGAGGCCTCCAGGAGAACAGGGAGGGACACTTGAGGTCTCCCAGCTGGACCCACCTGGACCTCAGTCTACCTCCTGGTCTATCCCTGGGGTTCAAATCGCTCCAAGCCCTCTGCTTTCAGGTACTGTCCACTCAGCCGTCAGCAGCCGGAGTCCCCTCTGTGCACAGCCTAGGCCCTGCCCACAGGAGTTTTCAGAACAGGACGATGGGTCCAGGAAGGTCTGATCTGAGTGCCCGGCTCCCTCCGGCCTGAGGTGAGAGCAGCCAGTGCTGGTTCTCTGGCGCCATCCGGTGTCCATATGTATGAACTGCAGCTCCCGCACCGGAGGACACCACCTGCGAACTGTCCTTCCAGAAGGAGGGTCGGGTAGGGAGGCAGCCTCACGAGCAGCGATCCTTTGGACCCACGTCTCTCACAATAAGAACTTTCATCACTTCCAGCCTCTTTAGGCCCCAACCTGTGGGTCCAACCCAGCACTGCACAACCAAATCAATGATTTTTTTATTTCACCAAAATTGCCAACAAGGCCAAGGTGTTGGCTGGGGAGGTGATTGGTTCCCATTTCTACGAATTTCTATCCTTAAGCATTTCTATCATTCGTCCCAGCATGGCCCAGTCCTTTGAGGCAAGCAGGTGTGTGAGCCTGTAGGCCTGCCCCCTCCCCTCTGAGGCCCAGCCCCCAGGACAAGGCAGCTCTGAACAAAAGTCTGCAAATGCAGCTGCTGGGGCCCCTTGTTCCCTAGGGCACAGAGCTGGGGAGACAGTGACCTGACTCCCCACAAGGTCAGGGGGCAGCTGTGTGCAGAAAACCTTCTAAATGGAAAATGGACATGAGACACAGGAGTGATACACCCTAGGAACTGGGGGGTGCAGGGCATCTGGGGTGTGAGGGGCATCTGGGGGTGCGGGGAGTCTGGGGGCGTGGAGCGTCTGGGGGGTGCAGGGCATCGGGTGTGTGTGTGTCAGGCACAGGCCAAGGTGCCCGGGACCTGCACACATGCCTGATGCAGAAGCAGGGTGATGTCTCAGCTACTTGGGGGTCATGAACATGATGGGTGTTTGAGGCTTGTGGCTGAGATAGGTTTTCTGCTGGCCAGGACACAGCCCTCAGCTCAGTGGACACCCAGGGTCCAAGCTTGTCCACGGTGGCCAGGGGGATGGGTGGGGGCCGCTACTCCAGGAGCCCAGAAGTGGGCTTAGGAGTCCTTCCTTCTCTTCCTTCCCCGAGGTTGCCTGTGCCCCCAGTCATCACTGGCTCCCCATCATCACGTGCACACGCACAAGCGCACACACACCTGCGTCCATTTCAACAGGCTGTGCTGCCACCAGGTGGCCAAGTCAGGACCAGCGCCCTGGGTTCCTGTCAGAGCCTTCCAAGTCCACTGTTCTGGATGCCAGGGCTCTGGCCACAAGGGCTCCAGCCACTGGGGCTCTGGTCACCGAACCTCCCCCCACCTCATGTCACTAAGCAAGTCCATTCCTCCATCAAGCAGCAACGTTGTGGAATAAATGTCCCTGTTTTCTGCAACCATTTCTTATGGGGGCTGACCAACCCTGGAAGAGGCTCAGAGACATGTGGTTTGGCCCAGGTCCCCGCAAGTTGGTGGCAAACCAGGCCCTACCCTCCTGGCTCCCACTTCCCGCCCCCTCCCACGGCCTCTCCCCTGAGGCCTCTGGGGGGCTGAGCTTACCTCAGCCCTACTCGCTGGGTGGCCTGGGCTCACCTGGAACCTCTCTGAGCCCTGGACTCCTGGGATGGTTGTGGGCAAGACCAAAGGTATAAACACACTAAAACACAGTCATGCGGGTTCATGTTCATTTCTCACTATCTGTTGTTGTTCAGTCACTCAGTCATGTCAGACTCCTGGTGACCTCATGGACTGCAGCACGCCAGGCTTCCCTGTCCCTCTCTATCTCCCAGAGTTTGCCCAAACTCATGTCCATTGAGTTGGTGATGCCATCTAACCATCTCATCCTCTGCTGACCTCTGGTATGCCTCCTGCGCCCCCCAACCCCATGTAAAGTGCTTGCAAGCCGCGGGAGGGGTTATGAAGCTACATAAAGGACTCATCAGTGTGCAGGATGTGGTGACACTGGGATGGGTTCCAACTGGGGAAACTGACCCAGAAAGTGGAGAAACACCCTGAGTCTTTCTGCCCAAACCTGGAGCTTCTGCTCCTCCCAGGGACTCTACATCTTGAGTCCAGAATATCTACGTTTTCAAGGGGTCAGTCTCCACTCTCCATGGAGCTGAGGCATTCTGAGATCACGTGATGGAGCCCCAGCACCCTCCTGGTCGGGACCCGCCTGCTGCTTTCCTATCCTTCCTCCTGGCCGACCTAGGCCGGGAGCGTGAGGGGCAAGCAGGGGGTTCCTGGAGGGCAGCTGTGGGGAAGACAGCAGGAGTAGATGAGAAAGCGCAGGCAGGAGGCTTCTTCTTAAGGGGCTGCTTCCCACTCAGGGACATCACGGCCGCCAGTATGGCCACCTCCATCACGTCAGGGCCTGTCATCCCTGACCCCATGCAGCCCATGGCAAGGCAAACCTGCCAAGCTGTGCCTCCCACCCGCCTCTCACCTCTCAGCTCCCAGCTGGACACCCAGGGACCAGACGCAGAGGGCCTTGGGGTGGGGACTAAGAACAGCATTTATTGTTCATGTCTCCAGCGAACCCCCAAGCTTGCAAACCCCCAGGTTGGAGTGGGGGCCGAGCCCTCCAGCCAGTCAGAGGCCGGGCTGTGAGACCCCCTGCATGAGGCCAGCATGACCTGGAACTCGCACCATGTTGCTGGATCCAGGCAGGTGCCTGGGGGAGACTCCACTGGGTGTCGGGCAGGCGGCAGGGGCTGAGGTTCAGAGGGGCCGCTCAACCATCTGCTCCTGCATCGTCCTCAGACCAGGTAGCTGCTGGCAGGGAGGGGGCTTCCCTGAGGGAGGGGAGGACTGCCCCACCGAACAATGCCCCAGCTCCTCCCAGACCAGAGGCCTGAGGTTGGCCTGGGCGCCTGGTGTCCTGTCCAGGCCCCTGGGCCCACCCTGCACTGAGGTCCGTGGAGGGCCCGGCCAGGCAAGTACAGGGCCAGGGCTCAGCCCAGCTCAGTGGGGCCGCTTGCTGTCCAGAATCGCCCTCCAGTCATCTGCCCATGAGTGCAGCCTGCGGCTGGGGGGCTGCAGCTGTGTGTGGCGGTTGTGACAGGCTGTGAACAGGACGTGCTCCCAGCTGGGGTTCGGCTCGGACCCTGGGGGAGAGAGCAGCACCTCAGGCCCGTGGCAGGAGCCCCAGGGGGGTCACACCAGCCCGCTGGACAAGGACCCCCTTGCAGCCCTGGACCCCATCGCAGGTGCTCATTGGAGGCTGACCCTCGAGATGCCCGCCTGACCTGCCCACATGCCCAGGCCAGCTTTGTCACCAGCTGTTGACCATGGGCCCTATAAGTCCCTCAAGCTTCAAGTCCCTCGTGTGGATTCCACTTTCTGGATGCTGATGGGGGTAGAGATGAGGATGTCTTCCCAGCCAGTTCCAAAAGTCATCAGGGAAGGAATGTATCAAATTTTCCCACTGAGGTGTCCAAGAGAATAGGATTTAACCCCAAAACTGCTGACGACCACCAGCAGGGGAGCATCTGCCAGAGCATGCAGGCAGAACCAGGAGATAAAGAAACCAAATCTGATGGATGTTGTCTGAGCTCCTAGATTCAGCCATGCCTGAAGCCCTTCCAAGAAGAAGAAATGTAAAAAAGCAAAATGGTTGTCTGAGGAGGCCTTACAAATAGCTGAGAAAAGAAGAGAAGCAAAAGGTAAAGGAGAAAAGGAAAGATATATCCACTGAATGCAGAGTTTCAAAGAATAGCAGGAAGAGATGAGAAAGTCTCCCTAAGTGATCAATGCCAAGAAATAGAAGAAAACAATAGAATGGGAAAGACTAGAGATCTCTTCAAGAAAATGTGAGATACCAAGGGAACATTTCATGCAAAGATGGGCACAATAAAGGACAGAAGCAGAAGATACTAAGAAGAGGTGGAAGAACTATACAAAAAAGATCTTAATGACCCAGATAACCACGATGGTGTGATCACTCACCTAGAGCCAGACATGCTGGAGTGTGAAGTCAAGTGGGCCTTAGGAAGCATCACCATGATCAAAGCTAGTGGAGGTTATGAAATTCCAGCTGAGCCATTTCAAATCCTAAAACATGATGCTGTGAAAGTGCTTCACTCAATATGGCAGCAAATTTGGAAAACTCAGCAATGGCCACAGGACTGGAAAAAGTCAGTTTTCATTCCAATCCCAAAGAATGTTCAGACTACCACACAATTGCACTCATCTCACATGTTAGCAAAGCAATGCTCAAAATTCTCCAAGCCAGGCTTCAACAGTACATGAACTATGAACTTCCAGATGTTCAAGCTGGATTTAGAAAAGGCAGAGGAAGCAGAGATCAAATTGCCAACATCCCTTTGATCACAGGAAAAGCAAGAAAATTCCAGAAAAACATCTACTTCTGCTTCATTGACTACGCTAAAGCATTTGACTGTGTGGATCACAACAAACTGTGGAAAATTCTTAAAGAGATGAGAATACCAGATTATCTTACCTGACTCCTGAGAAATCCGTATGCAGGTCAAGAAGCAATAGTTAGAACTGGACATCGAACAATGGACTGGTTCCAAATTGAGAAAGGAGTATGTCAAGGCTGTATACTGTCACCCTGCTTATTTAACTTATATGCAGAGTGCATCATGTGAAATGCCAGGCTGGATGAAGCATGAGCTGGAATCAAGATTTCTGGGAGAAATATCAATAACCTCAAATATGCAGATGACAGCACCCTTATGGCAGAAATCAAAGAGGAACCAAATAGTCTCTTGATAAAAGTGGAAGAGGAGAGTGAAAAAGCTGGCTTAAAACTCAACATTCAGAAAACAAAGATCATGGCATCTGGTCCCATCATTTAATGGCAAATGGATGGAGAAACAATAGAAACAGTGACACACTATTTTCTTTCGTTCCAAAATCACTGCAGATGGTGGCTTGCAGCCATGAAATTAAAAGATGCTTGCTCCTTGAAGAAAAGATATGACAAACCTAGACGCATACTAAAAAGCAAGAGACATTATTTACCAACAAAGGTCAGTCTAGTCAAAGCTATGGTTTTTCCAGGAGTCATGTATGGATATGAGAATTGGATCATAAAGAAAGCTGAGCACCAAAGAATTGATGCTTTTGAACTTTGGTGTTGGAGAAGACTCTTGAGAGTACCGTGGACTGCAAGGAGATCCAACCAGTCAATCCTAAAGGAAATCCATCCCGAATGTTTATTGGGAGGACTGATGCTGAAGCTGAAGCTCCAATACATTGGTCACCTGATGTGAAGAACTGACTCATTGGAAAAGACCCTGATGCTGGGAAAGACTGAGCTCAGGAGGAAAAGGGGACGATAGAGGATGAAGTGGTTGGATGGCATCACCAACTTGATGAACATGAGTTTGAGCAAGATCTGGGAGCTGGTGATGGACAGGGAAGCCTGGCGTGCTGCAGTGCATGGGGTTGCAAAGAGTTGGACACTATTGAGTGACTGGATTGAACTGAACTGAACTGAAGCCCTCCCACCCCAGCTTTTCAGTTTGATGAACCAATCATTTCCCCTCGCCATGATAAGCAAATTCAAGGTTTGTTTATTTTGGGGGGAGGGGGACACCCATAAGCAAAAGGGAAAAATACAGCTCCCAAACCACCTTCAACTACAGAAATTAGGTTTTGCTTTCCTGGTTTACATATTAGATTCAGTCCGAATTACTCTTGAGGAAAAAAGAAAGGATTCTGTTGCTAAAAAGAAATGTTTGGAAGCCAGAGTCTGGCCCTCATTTGACAGGAACGCAAGACTTCAAGGTGTACAGTGACTGGATCAAGGCTGCCCAGTGCATTAGCCCTGGGCTGGACTGCTCTCCCTGACTCCCTGGGGATGCATGTGGGGAAGAAGCTTGTCTCCCTGAAAGGGAGGAGGCTCAGCTTGAGGTTCAATGCTGGACAAGACACCTCACACAGATCTGGTGACTATGGGGCTGGGGGATGGACACTTGGGTTGGGGCCCCCCTGCCTGCCCTTCCCCCACTTCAGGCCACTTGCCTGTGATGTCCACCCGGTCATCTATGAGGAGGTCAGCGGAGACCACGGTCTTGTCTCTGGTCAGCACGATCTGCTCCAGGAAGTCAGGGCCGAAGTGCTTCTCCACCCAGGCATACTGGAACAAGAGCGGGCCAAGGGGAGGCGGTGCTGTGAAGCCAGGGCACCACCAGGGAGACTACCCATGCGCAGGGGACCACAGGACCGTCCTAGTCCACAGCTCTGAAGTGGCAGTACCGCAGCTCCGACCAGACACCCCAGCCTAGCTCAGGTCCCCCATGCACCCTGCAAGGCTCCAGCTCAAGGAAACGGGATGCAACCCTTAGGTGCATCATCCCTTCCAGAAGCCCTGACCGCCTGCCTTCCAGCCGTACCCGAGCTTTGGTCTGGAGGCCACATGAGAACTGGACCCACAGTGGGAATGGGTGTGTGGTGCCAGAGCCAGTGGTACAGGCGTGTCTGGGGGCTCCCCGGACACCCTGCTCCTAGTGACCTTCCCCAGCAGATGGGGGACCCCACACAAAAGGCCATGCAGCCTACTTTTCTTAAAGCCCCCCATGGTCACAAAGTAACACAAACATCCCAGAATAACTGGGTGCCATCAGGTCCACAAAACGGCTTTGCAAGGCTATCTCCTTGCCAAACTGGGTCTATGAAAACAAGCTGACATCTGGACCATGCACCCGGCCAGGACTTGGACACCCAATGCCTTGCTTTGCTTAAAAACCCTTCAGAGGCCTTGGGGTGCCTGTTGCTTGAAGCCCCAACCCCTGGTTCTGTAAAGGCCCTGCCTTTCAGCCTCTCCCTCCCCCTCCCGCTTCTGCCCCTGCCCCTCCCCCAGGTCTCTTGGCCTTTGCTCAGCTGTTTCACCACTCACAAATGGTCCTCCCAGTTCCTCCTTTCCCCAGGGAGCCAGCCTGGGCTCCTGGGCTTCCTCCCTGCTGGACCAGAGCCTGGGACACCTGTCTCTCTTCCTGCCGCACTGTCCTCAGCTCCCAGGCATTTTTAAGCCCCAGATGCCCAGTGTTGTAGCAGGGTAACTGTTTCCTGAATGACAAATGTACTTACTTTTTTATTGCTAAAGTAATGGCTAATCAAAGAGATTTTGAAAAATCAAGGAAAGTCAGAGAAACATCTATAGTTGACAAAATTTCCTTCCTTCTTTTTTTTTTAACATTTGGGAGGAGGCCCCGGCCCAGACCCCCAGGCGGGCTGGAGGGGAGGGTCCCAGCCCTTCCCAGGATGCAGGCAAGGTAAGCAGAGGCCCCGCGGCAGGTGTCTCACCTTCTCGAAGGGACAGTACTTGTACATCTTGATGGGGCTCGTGCAAATGAAGACGTCAGTGCTGGGGAGAGAGCAAGCAGGTGAGGCTGTGTGCCCACAGCCCCCCAGCCTGGGCCCACACCTCCCCCAGCCCCCCGCCACGGCCCCAGCCACCACGTGGGACACCAGCCCGGGGCCTGCAAACCACATGGCAGCCCCCATGCAGCCAGCCACGCAGAGGTGAGGAGCCACCACCCCAGACGTGGCAGGAACTACTGGGGAAGGTGAGCAGCATCCAGCCAGGCAGGCTTTACAGGACAGAACCAGTTATCAGGGACATTGGGCCCCGCTCAGCACAGAGCCAAGAATCCTGCAAGCCAGAGTCTGGGTCAAGGCTGGTCTTCCTGGGCCCTCAGGGACCCCTGAAGTCTGTGCTGCACCAGCGCCTCCTACAACCCCAGACCCATCACCCACCAACAGTGCCAGCAGGTCCCCTGCCCCTCGGGGTCGCACCCGTGGGACACTGGGTCCCGGCTCCTTCTCTCTGAAAAGCGGTCCGGAGAGGCCTCAGTCAGACTGCAGCCCTGGGTCTCTCCTGCTATGTCCCTGTGGAGTTGCCTGTTCCAGACATTTCGTTACAGGAACCCCACAGCATGTGGTCTTGTCCTTTGGGGTCATGTTTTCAAGAGCACTGGAACTTCAGGCCTCTTTAGTGCCCGGTGACATCATAGTGACACACATGCTACCAGGATGGAGGGTGCAGCTACTTCCCCCCGAGCATCGAGCTGCTGGGGACGCCCGTGCTCAGGGCCTGGTGGATCTGCACCTCCATTTCTCTCGGTGCCACTGCTGGGTTATAGCCGGCTCCATGCCCCGGGGACATGGCTGCTGAGGCAACAGCTGCATGTTTCCATCCCACCATAGGCAACAAGGACTCCAAGCTCCCTCCATCCTTGGCTAAACTCGTCTTTCTTGTCATAGTCGTTCCGTGGGCTTCCACAGTAGAATAACGCTGAGGCAAACTTCACATGCCTAGTTGCCATCTGGAGCTCTTCTTTGGAGAAATGCCAAACTCAGCACTTGAGCCCGTGGTTTTAAAACCTAAGTGAGATGACACCCTTCTCTCTTCAACCACGTGCCCCACATCCTTCCTGCTCCACACTTGCTGAAACCTTGGTCTCCTTTATTACCAAGTCAGCAAAGCCCTTCCCCTCCCGGGGCCTGTACCTCTGCCCACTCTGCACTTCACTAAACCCTGCAGGTCTAGGGTCAGATGTCACCTTCTTGGAGAAGCATCTGCACCTGAACGAGCCCCTCCCGGGAAACCTCCAACACAAAGCATTAGACACAAGGCTATCCACTTGGTTATGACTCGACCCCTCTCTCCGTGCAAACTTTGGAGACAGGCTGATCATCAGAATTGTCTACCCAGCTAAGATCCAGAGTAGAATTAAAGGGCCAATGCATGTCGCAGGCTGGAATTTCTGCAAAATAGAGCAGCTGAGAAAAAGCTCCAGAACCCACATGCCCCCTCTGCCACCCCCTAAAGAATCCTCAAACACGTCTGCAAACTAACAAGTTCTGGGACCCCACCCCACCATGAAAAGGAACCTCTCATAGACGTTCCCTATGCTGCTTTGGCCAAAGGACACTCTTCTTCCTGCTCACCTATTAAATTCTATCAAGTAGTAACAGTGGCAGGTAATGTTTATACTGTGCGCATTTTACAGATGAAGAGATTGAGTCGCAGAGAGTTTAGAAACGTGCTATGGGTTTGATTCTGGAGAAGTGGACTCACTCTGGTTCACACTCAGCCTTAACCACATGCAACCCAGCTCCCCAGACCACAGCTGGTAAGTGTAGTCCAGACAAGAACAGAACTTTTAAAGCTTTATATGGGACTCCCCTGGGGGTCCAGTGCTTAAGAATCGCTGTGCAATGCAGGGGACACATATTTAATCCCTGGTTGGGGAACGAAGATCCCACATGCTGCAGAGCAACTAAGTCTGCATGCCACAACTAGAGAGTCCACGTACTGTGACCAAAGATCTCACATGATACAACCAAGACCCAAAACAGCTGGAAAAAAAAAAAGGCTTTGGTGCAAAAGCTTTTTACACGTTCTCTGCCTCTCTGGGTTTTTGCTACAGGTAGAAGAAGTTGTATCACACCACTCCAGTGTAAATCAAGTTTAAATCATAGACTAGAATAGAATATACTGCTCAGAGGGCCTGGATTCAAGACTAAAGATAAATTATCAACCAAACCAGCCTACAAGTCAACACAAACAAAGTGTTTTGTGCTTCTCTGATGTCTACTTATCATGTGAGAACCTTGAAAGCTGATGAAGTTCAAAGGCAGTTACATGGCATGTGCATACGTGCTAAGTCGCTTCAGTTGTATCCAACTCTGTGCGATCCTATGGACTGTAGCCTACCAGGTTCCTCTGTCCCCGGGATTCTCCAGGGAATAACACTGGAGTGGGATGCTGTGTCCTCCTCCAGGGAATCTTCTCAACCCAGGGGTTGAGCCCACATCTCTCATGTCTCCTGAACTGGCAGGTATGTTCTTTACCAGCAACACCACCTGGGAAGGCCAGTTACATGGCACAACCAAGGCCAAATCACACCAAATATTTGATTTGTCATTGTGACTACTAAATTCAAGCAAATCTGTGACCAATAAAAGTTATGCAAGCCTAGAAAGAAATCCTAACATTTATGTGCAATTGACTTTTGACAAGGAAGCCAAGACCATTCCAAGGAGGAAAAGAAGGGTCTTTTCAACAAATGACTCTGGGACAACTGGATTTCCCACATGAAAAAGAAGGCAGTAGGACCTCGCACCACATGAAAAAAATTAACTCAAAATGAATCAAACAAACTGAACATAAGAGCTAAACCTATACAACTCTTAGAAGAAAACACAGGAGCAAATCTTTGTGACCTTGGGTTAGGCAGAGGATCCTTACAGATGGCAACAAAAACACAAACAGCAAAAAAAAATAAGAGATAAATTTAACTACATAAAAATAAAAACTTTGGGTTCCAAAGGACACCAGCAAGAAAGTAAAATAATCAGAGAATAAGAAACTGTATCTGCAAGTCATATATCTCACAAAGCACTTGTTACCCAGAATATATAAAGAGCTCTTAAGAGTTAACAAAAACAAAAACGACAAATAACCCAATTGAAAAAAAGTTAGCAAAAGATCTGAATAAACATTTATCCTAAAAGGACAGACAGCTGATATGCACACCAAAAGAAGCTGCATAGCATTTGTCTTCAGAGAAATGCAGATTAAAACCACAGTGAGACACCACACCACACCCACTAGGATGGCTAAAATAAAAAAGACCATAGCTAAATAAAATAAATATATTTTTTAAAAGAGAGACTTCCCCGGTGGTCCAGTGGGTAAGACTCCACCCTCCCCATGCAGGGGGCCTAAGGTTCAATCCCTGGTCAGGGAACTAGATCCCCACATGCTGCAACTAAGACCTGGTGCAGCCAAATAAATAAGAAATAAAATAAATATTAAAAAAAAAATAAAAGACTACAGCCAGGGTTGGGAGGAGGAGTTGAATCCCTCTAATGTTACTAGTGGGAATGTAAAATGTACAGCTGAAAACAGTTTGGATTCAGCCCATGACCCGGCAGTTCCATTCCTGGGTACACACCTAAGAGAATAAAAACAAGCAACCACAAAGACCTGTAGGTGAATGTTCACAGGAGTGTTAGTCTCCATATTTAAAAAGAAGAAACACCCCAAGGTCTACCAGTTAATGAAAAGATGGACAGAACATGGCGGGGCCACAGGACTGACAGCCACTTGGCAGTGAAATGAGACAAAATGCTGATTCACCCTGGGACACAGATAAACCTGGAAACATGCTGAGGGAAAGAAGCGGCCACAGAAGGCCAGATACCATAAGAAATGTATATGAAACGCCCAGAAGAGGCAAATTCAGGGACAGAAGGCCTACTGTGGTTGACATGGGCAGTGGGGGGAGGGAGACTGTGGATGGTCCAGGGTTTCTCTGGGGGGGATGGGGAGCTGATAGGCTGTGAAGCTGATGATGGTGATGGATGAACACCTCTGTGACTCTGCTAAAAACCACTGGGTGTGGGCTGCGTGAATTACATGTCAGTAAGACAACTGTTTTTTAAGCTCTCAGAGGAGGAGCACTGTGTTTCTGGATTGCAGCGGGCACTGGTTCCGGGTGCAGGGGGGGCTTCAGCTCACGGGTCAGGTGGATGTCTCCCCCTCCTCCTGCTGCCACCTCCTCCCATCTCTGCCAGGTTCCCATCGCACCCCTTCACACACATGGCCCTGTGTTATCACAGTCTTCCCGAATGATGCTCTGCTCACCGCCTGCTCCCTGGCTGGACTGTAAGCTCCAGGGTAGCAGGGAACGAGTCTAACAGCTGGTTCTCAGGGATTTGCTGAATAAATGAACCCAGGACACCCAGCGAAGCGCATCAAACTAGACTCCACATTCTCCCAAGTTACTAAATGGAAGCATCTTAGCCTGCAGAGAGGCCCTGGAGGACTGAACAAGCCAGCCCACGCAGGGTGCAGGGCAAGCGAGAGGAAGACAGGTAGAGGGCACGTGGGAAGGGGCGTGGACCCTGGGTCGGGACAGACTTACCTCTCCAGGTTAGCCATCTGTTTCACGGCTTCCACAGCTCCTGGGAGAGGTTCGAGGTCAAAGAAGAAGTTCTCAGACTCCCAGATGCTGATGGCCTTCTCCTGAGAAGAGAGGGAAAAAAAGCAGGTGATGCCTGGGGTCCTCAGCACCCTGAGCCCCACACCCAAGGACAGTCTTCCCGAAGGCAGGTGGGCGGAGGGGCATGTGCTCCAGGAGGGGCCCAGCTTCTGCAAGGATCTGGCAGGGGCCAGCTACAGGGTTCAGAAGATGGCTTTGCTGGCAGCCTCACGGGAGTCAGAGGGCGGGAAGGCTGGCCTTCAGGAACCACGTCCTTGCCTGTCTAAGGGCCAGGGCACCCTGGAGGTCACAAGGGCGGGCCGGGTCCTGCCTTGATGCTGAAGCCCTCACTCACGTTCAGTAGCTGGAGGAGCTCAGGCCTTTCAGATCCCCAAGGAATGGGGGCATGGGCAGAAGGTGAGCTCTGCTCAACACCGGCAGAGCAGCTCCTTATCTGTGCTATGTGTTGGGATGCCAATAAACACTGTTTTTTTTTTTTAAAGTATTCTGCTGTTTTAAAGAAGTCCCAAATGCAGACCCTCATTTCACATGTGAGAAAACCAAGGCTCAGAATGGGGACAAGACCGACTTAATGTCACTCAGCAAAATGGTGGCTTCCAAACACCTGGCGAGGAGCGCCCACCTTACGCTGCTGGCCAAATTCAAGTCTGCAGTATGCCACTTCCTTCCAAGGCCAGGCCAAGAGGAAAGTGACAAACCCCAGCCTCTGAGAAGCAAGAAACAGATCCCCCATCAGGTCAGAAGTCCCCCATCCCAGAACAAGTGCTGCCCCCACAGTGAGCACACGGAGGTCACACAGGTCAGAGGTTCTCAATGGATTTAAGCAAACCAGTGTTTATTGCTAACATACACTATGTCTGACTCTCACATCCCTCAAGGGGCAAGAACTGCCATCCCCAGGATACAAATGAGGCAGCTGGGCTTCACAGGCTTTTTTCAAAGCCACTTGAAAATTTTTTTCAAGTTCAGAACTTGAACTTGGGTCTTCTGACTCTAAGGGGTGTGGTGCCAGTGTGACTAGTGGAAAGCAGGCTCGAGGAGGAGTCAGAAGTGCTGGCCCTGGTGGTGTGACCTGGGGTTAACCACTTCACCTCTGACCAACGACCCAGCTTCCCTCCCTACCCCCAACCTGCTCTGAAACCCTGGTCAAGGCATTTCCTCTCTCTGGGATCAGTTCAACTGTCCAACAGTGTAAGATTCTAAGTCAGTTACAATGAGCTATGCCTTCCTCTGCCCTGCTTACCCCTTGGCATGTGAAGATCAAAGGAAATACAGACAAACACATGTTTTGTAAACCATGGATGCCTCCGTGTGTAAGCTGGGTGCTTACATGGGTGCCTGACTGGGTGCTTTTCAGGCAGACACTGGACCAGTTGTGCCAGGGGAGACCCAGGGAGGTCCGTGGAGCTGAAGATCAGGTCACATGTGCCTCTATCAAAGCCCTGTTGCCTGCAAGGTTCCCAGGAGCTGAAATGCACAGCAAGCTCTCGGAGTAGCGCTTGTTGGTGCCCCTGGAGCTCTGCTCCCAGGCCTTGGAAACCAGTAAATCATCCCCTCAGAGCCAGAGTCTGCACATGGGAGCAAGGGACTGGAAGAGCCACTGGCCTGAGAGCTGGGGGTGGGCTTCCCTTCCGCATGGTAAGGCGGTCCTGGGAGGAAAGAGGTACTGTGACTGCACTGCTGAGCGCCCTCTGTGAACGAACACATCCAGGGTGGAGGAGGATGTCAGAGCCTGCAAAGTTACTAGGGCGTTTTCTCCGGGCTACAGTTTTTGTTTTGTTTTTTTTTTTTTTTTTTTCGGTCTACGGTTTTTAACTGGGTATCAGGACTGGGAGGAGTCAGCACCCCAGGCTTGGGGGAAGGTCACCTTCTGAAGCGCCTGGTGTTCATGAAGAGAAGGGGCACTTGATTTCCTTTGGAACACTGGCCCCTCCACAAACCAGAGTTCTATCAAGATGCTGCCCGTGAGTCACAGAACTGGCACTTGTTGGGGGAGGACAGAGGACAGGACTGGATGACCCTGGCACGCAGAAGGACCGTTGGATCCTGGCTGCCCCTTCCACAAGGGAGAAAATCAAGCCTGCCTCAGAGAGGAGGGGATGCAGACTAGCTGGGTTACAGAACAGGCTCTCAAATCATATCAGCTCTCCTGGCAGCCATCTCAGAAGGCCCGCTGAGGGACAGCAGAAAACACTGGGCCTCTAGGTTGGTCCAGGGCAAAATCTGGCTCCTGTCACCAAGCAATTTAAATGCACAAGCCAAGCCATCTGTCTGGGAGTGAGCCTGGTATCTCCTCTCCATACACCATGGACTCAGAGAGTAGAGCACTGTGGGAGGGGGCCTGTCAGAGCCCAGGTGCTCAGGGGGGCTGGCAAGGCCAGTGGATAAGGCAAGGAGTAGATCCAAACCCACCGTGATACTGACTCCCTGTGTGCTGTGATGTCCAGAAAGGCTCACAACCTCTCTGGGCCTAATTCTACTGGGAGCCACGCTTTGCTGTAAAAGGGCGAAAAGAATGGATGCTAAAGATGCTCATCAAATCCACGAGGAGGAAGAAACAGGAATGTGACTTGAGGCCAGGTACACCCAAAATTAAAGTCAGTTGAAGATGGAGAGTTGGATATATTACGTTTTATGTACTCCTGAATTTTGAGAAGCCCTTGATGACAGCCAACAGCGTGGCCCCCCAGGACTCGGTGCTACGGGAGGCGAGCCCCAGGGGCACGCGCGCCCGGGGCGGGGATGCTCACGCTCAGCCCGGGCTGCAGGCGGCCGTACTGCTCCGACACCCAGAAGCCGCGCCGGTCCTCCAGCGCGATGAAGGGCTGGTCGGGGAAGCGCGCGCGGAACTTCCTGAGGAAGCCGCCCTCGAAGTCGGCCAGCACGCCGTCCATGTCCACCAGCACTCGCAGGGCGCGGCCAGCAGGCCCACCCGACGCCCAGCGCCGCCCTGCCGGCCCCGCCGCGCCGCGGGGCCTCCGCGAGCACCAACCGCACAGGCGGATCATGGCCCCAGGCGGGCGCTCGTCGCGGGCACCTGGGCCATGACCGCGGGAGAAGACACTGCGGGCCTGGGGGCCGGGCGCGGGGCGCGCGGGGTGCGGGGAGCGCACGGACGCGCGCGGCGCCGGGGGCGCGCGGGGTACGGGCGGGGGGCGCGGGGCGCGGGGGGCAAGAGCGCGCAAGCTCCAGCCCCAGAGCGAGGCTGGTGTTTCGCCGCCCTTAAAGGGACCCGCGCCGACCGAGGCGGGCCCGAGGGGCGTGGCCTGGAAGATAGTCCAGGGCTCTGGGCTGTCCCCGGGGCGTCCGCAGTCCCTGGATCTCCACTGGCACCTTCTCCTGGGATTCTGCGCCTGGGCTCCCTCCTCCGACTGCCACAGCGAGGATGGAGCAGGCCTGTGTCGCAGAGACGTTTACTGAGCCCCTGGAGCGTCTCTCAGTGGAGCATATGGACGAGGTCCTGCCATCTTGGAACTTACATCTTAGAAGGGGAGATGGACAGGAGGCAAATAAGCCAAGTACACAGGCAGAAGAATTTAAGGGAGGGAACCAGAACAGGGTGATGCGCCCCCTGCTTTACAGTGACTAGCTGGGGAAAGCTGCCAGAACAGACACAAAGCCTTAATAAAACTGGCGACTTTCAAATGAATCCATAAATGAATATTGTTATGTACTCTGTTGTAAGTGGGTTTTGGGAGGAGACATTTAAAATCTTTTATTGTCACTCTGGTTGAAAAAGAGACAGTTACTATTGTTATAGACAAGCAATATTCAACAGACACACCAGGATCCTTCTCATTAACATTCTAGCCACACTAGCATTTTCTCAATTCCAGAAACACCAAATTTATCTGGGTCTTAAGACTTTGGCATACATTTATTCCTCGCTCTGAAACTCTCTGCCCAAGATCTCTTTTTTATTTATTGTATTTGTGTGACTGCCTTGGGTCTTAGTTGTGGCACCCCGGAATCTTAGATGCATCTTGTGGGATCTTTTTTTGTGGCATACCAGCTCCGGAGCTTCTGGGCTTAGTAGTTGCCATGCTCAGTTTTAGTTGCTCTGAGTCATGTGGGACCTCAGTTCCCCAACCAGGGATCAAACCAGTGTCCCCTGCAATTTGCAAGGCAAATTCTTACCTGCTAGACCACCAGGGAAGTCCCCCAGCTCTTTCTCACCCTTCTGAACTTGGAAGCATTTCCTGACCTTCCTCTACCCCATCACCATGTTTTATTTTCTTCATAACATGTGCTAACTCTCTGAAAGTATTTCATTTGCTTGCTTAGTGTCTTACTCTTCAACCAGAACTTCATGTCAGCAAGAACTTTCTGTTTAGATCACAGATATACGCAGCCCCGTCCCTGCATCTGGCACAGGGTTGGACACAGAGACAAAGTAAGTGTGTTTTCAAAGAATGAAAAACAGAGCTTCCCTGGTGGTACAGTGGATGGGAATCTGCCTGCCAGTGCAGGCGACACAGGTTCCATCCCTGGTCCAGGAAGATCTCACAGGCCGCCGAACAGTTAAGCCCATGCACCGCAACTACTGCGCCTGTGCTCTAGGGCCCATGCTCCGCAACAAGTGAAGCCCCTGCAATGAGAAGCCTGAGCACCAAGACAAAGAGTAGCCCCACCTCTCCGCACCTGGAAAAAGCCCTCCTGCAGCAACAAAGACCCAGCACAACCAAAAGAAAATAATAAAATCATTTTTTTTTTAATGAGAAAACAGATGATTGAATGTGGCATCTCCACTCACTTCTGTGGCTGTTTGTTGTAAGGTGTGTCTTATGTAATTGCCGGGTTTTATACATGACTAGCTTTTAAAGAAAAAGGGAAAATATATTCAAGGTTATCCCAGTAACCATGTCTTTTTCAGTCATTTTCATTCTTGAGAGGAAGAAAGAAGGATGGGATGTCTCTTAGCAGTACTGAAATGAGTGTGATTTTATTTTTGGCTCCTCTTTGCCGCATCCAGGCCTTCTCAGACTTCAGTGTGCATCATGGTTACCCGTAGGACTTGTTAAACTCAGACGGCAGGGCACCACCCTCAGAGTTTCTGATGTAGTAAATCTAAAGTGGAATCCCAGACGTTTCCAGGTGGGACTTAGCTGGTAGTCCAGTGGTTACGAATTACCTTGCAATGCAGGAGACAAGAGATGGAACCCTGGTCAGGAAACTAACATCCCAAGTGCCACAGAGCAACTGAACCCATGCACCAAAACTACTGTGCCACAACCAGAGTCTGTGCATGCATGCCTGCTCAGCCGCTTTAGTTGTGTCTGGGCCTGTGCAACCCTATGGACTGTAGCCCACCAGGCTCCCCTGTACATGGGATTCTCCAGGCAAGAATATTGGAGTGGGTTGCTGTGCTTTCCTCAGCAGATCTTCCCGACCTAGGGATTAAACCTGTGTCTTTTAGGTCTCCTGCACTGGCAGGCAGGTTCTTTATCACTAGCACCACCTGGGAAGCCCCAGAGAGTCTATGGGCCACAAGGAAAGATCCCACATGACACAAGGAAGACCTGACACAGCCAAATAAATAAATCTTAAAAAAAAAAAAAAGCTCCCAGGTGCTGCTGCTGCTCCTGGCTGGGGATCACACTTTGAGAAGAGATCCCACTAAATAGGCAAAAAAAATTGAAGTATGACTAGTCCAGTTTAGTTCAGTCGCTCAATCATGTGCGACTCTTTGCGACCCAATGGACTGCAGCATGCAGTAGCTGTGGCTATTTTGAATTATGGTAGTGCTTAACTTCTCTTGAAACTGCTGGCTTTTATTAAATCCATGTATATCCATGGAAATATATCCTATAATTCAAAATATCTGTCCTCTGTTTGAGGACCTAATGTGGCCATACAGCATACAGGGACATCTCCATCCTAGAGTATAAGCATTAAAGTCATCCATCCATACATGTCATCATCTATACATTCATATATACAAATACATCCATTTACTTCTATTGCTATATCAACATACAATTATTACTATTATATTTCATGTCAACTGACTACTGCAATAGCTTCTTAAATGACTCTGAAGTTATCCGTGAAGCCAGTCTTTTCCAAGTGCAAGTCTGATCATGCCACTCGCTTGCATGAAACACTCCATGGCTCCCCACTCTTCTCAGGGAAAAATCCTGTAGCTTTAACACGGCTTACTTGACAGGGCCCCTATTTATCTTGCAGCCCCATCTCACATCACCGCTCTCCAGCCATTAAGTGTTTTACGTAGTTTATCGTGAGACTTTTACAGATGGGGAAACAAGGCAGCGGACAGCCAAGGAACTTGCCGAGAGTCGTGGAGCTACTAAGTGGTAGAAAAGGGACTTGAAGACAGGTTGCCTTCCTCGCTGTACAACTACTACTTGGCTGGAAAAGCCTCAGGGAAGAGGTTGCGATTAAGACAGGCGGGTTCCCTGGATGGGGAAGATCCCCTGGAGAAGGAAATGGCTACCCACTTCAATATTCTTGCCTAGGAAGTCCCACGGACAGAGGAGCCTGGCGGGGTACACAGTCCATAGGCTCGCAAAGAGTCGGACACGATAGAGCGACTGAACAACTAGGCGTTCAGTTCCTTCCTTTGCCTGTTAAATCCAGGGAGCGACTTCACGAGTGCACAGGATGAAGACGGAAGGGAAAAAAACCTGTCTTCCGGCGCGGGCCTCCGCAGAACCGGTTCCATGGAAACCGTAGCCGGGTCCAGGTAGGTAGATCTCGCGGCGCTTGAGCGACGGAAGTGACGTCACCTCTCTGAGGCACTCCAGTGGGTCGCCGGCCCTCGTCCAGCGCGCGCCGCCTCCGCCGCCCGGCTGCCGGGAACATGGCGTCCGCCCTGGAGCAGTTTGTCAACAGCGTCCGCCAGCTCTCCGCCCAAGGTGAGGCGATGGGCGCGGGCCGCGAGCCTGCGTCCGGGCTGCGGCTGGGGTCTTGGCGCTTGGGCCGGGGCAGAGGAGCGCGCGAGATGGGCGACCCCTTCGCCCAGGCCCCGGCCTCCGCCCCCCGCCGTCGGAGCTCCGTTCGTCTCGCCTCCCAGAGGCCCTTCCCGACCTGGCCGCGCGGCCGAGCCCCTCGCGGCTGGCCGCGCTCGACTCCCGGGGGCCCTGGCTCCCGGCTCCCTCTTGGGGGGGCGGAGTTGTGGCCTTTGTGAATTTGCCCCTAATTTTCATGCCTTTGGTTGGTTCCTCTCATCGCCTGAGTGTCGTCCCCTGGGCCTAGAATTAAAGTAATTGGCCGCTGTCGTGAGGCCACTTTCCTCACCCTGTTGGTTCATCTGTGAAATAGAAACGTCCGGACTGCGCGGGGTTGTCAGGGGTGAGCGGGAGGAACCGTTAAGGTTGCAGGAGCCGCGTGACCTTGCCCAGGCACCCTTCTTTCGGGAGTCGCGTCTCCGGGTGTAAGGACCCAGGTGCTGCCCGCCTGGCTGCCCCGAGGTTGATTTGATGCCGGGCGGTGCGCAGCGCAGCGCAGCGGTTCTGTCTCGTTTCTCTCCACACTGGTAGGAATTAGGGTCAGGGGTGAGTCCGGAGTCTCTGGGAGTGAGGAAGGCATTCACTCGTTTGTGCCACAGACTCTAGTTTCTGTTTCCCGAGGTGCCATGAGATTAGAAGGTGTGGGTTGAAGTCCTGTCTCAGTAGGGCTTCCCAGGTGGCTGAGTGGTAAAGAATCTGCCTGCCAATGCAGGAGATCCCCTTCGATCCCTGGGTCAGGAAGATCCCGTGGAGGAGAAAATGGCAACCCACTCCAGTATTCTTGCCTGGAGAGTCTCATGGACAGAGGAGCCTGGGGAGCTGCAGAGAGTTGGACCTGACTTACTTTAGCTGCTGAACACGCACGCACCTGTCTCAGTCACTTGGTGACTAACCAAACAACTCATTTCCCAGGTCCAGTTTTCTTACTTACAAAACAGAGCCGGGGCGTGCTGATGAGCATCAAGCAGGATCGCTTGCCTGGAAGCTTCACACACATGCCTTGTGCAGGCTGCTGATGTAGGAGCAGGCTGCCCAGCAGAGACGTGCAGGTCACTTTCCCTGCCTCTGACTGGTGTGCCTCACGCTTCCGGAACAGACGGGTGCTGGTGTGGAGTAAGGGCTGGAGTAGAGAAGGAAGGAGGGGGCTGCTCAGAAGAAGATGGCGTGCAGACCAGAAGTGACGGGTGTGGGAATGAAGGCGGAGGGGAGAGGACGAAGTCGACTGAGAGGCTGAGGAGTGAGATGAAGTTATAGCTGGTGACATTTTGGATACAGAAGGGAGATGAGCTGGTGCTCATGGTAATGTGCACTCTGCTGGCTTGGGGCACTGGAAGTGGGAGTGCGAAACCTTCAGTGGCCAGAGGAAAGTGGGAAACTTAGCACTGAGACCAAAGGCAAAGTCATTTGGTGTCTCTGGCCCTTCTGGGTCCTCACCTGAAATGAAGAAGTCACCTTTAGGCACCTGCAGGTCTGAGGTATGACTCCTTTGGTCTGGTGAATGCTGTTCTGAATGGTAGTGTCGTTCTTGTTTTCCAGGGCAAATGACTCAGCTTTGTGAACTGATCAACAAGAGTGGGGAGCTCCTGGCGAAGAACTTATCCCATCTGGATACCGTGCTCGGGGCCCTGGACGTCCAGGAGCACTCCTTAGGCGTCCTCGCTGTCTTGTAAGGGCGTCTTCCTTCACAGCCTTGTGCTCGCTCAGCGTCAACACTGCATTCTCTGGCTTTGTTTGGTGTAGGAAGTAAGCCCTGTAAATGACAGTGAGCTCTTTGGCACAACTAAAGTTACGTTGTAACCTCATCGCAGCTAATCATTGCTTGTATTTTTTGTTCTGCTTTATTATTTTTTAAAATTCTTAATGTTTATACAAATTTTGAAACGTAGTTTTAAAAAATGAATGGTGATCTCAGTTGTGGCACTGTAGTTTGTGTTTATCTGAAAACTTTTATTCATGTGATCCATGGGATTCTCCCCATTTTCTGAATTGAAAAGAGGAAAAGTGGCAGGACAGGGCAGGAGGCCGAGTTGAGTGAAGTTCCAAGTGATCCAGAGCACCCTGCAGACACATTTAAACTGGTTTAAGACCAAGTTAAACAGACGTGATTCCAGTTGGCCTTTTGAACTCTTGTGATTATGTACTTGACGGTTGATTTTTTTTTTCTCTTGATGTTTTAGTGTCATAGATTGGGATTTTATGGTTGTTGTGAAAGTTGAAATAATGTAGATGAACTGAGAACAAATTGACTTGAAGTGAGGGTCTGGCTTCACTTGAGCTGGCGCTCCTGAGACTGGGGTGTGTCAGGAGGAAGGTGCTGTCAGAGCCCGAGGTCTAGCCTGCGCTTGCAGGGTGGTGGTCAGTGGCAGCTGTGTGTCTGACTGTAAATCTTTAGAAATAAATGATGTGCAGGATTTAGCTCCTCTGTCGTACTTGCAGCACCTTGAGGACTCAGTAGCCGCTGCTTTAGATGGTACACACTCGGATCAGGGCCTCCGCTGTGGAAACTTCTGCCAGCTATGGCTGGCAGATAAAGATTTCTACTGGCTGTGCTTTCTGATTAAAAGAACAGGTAGCACAGTTTGTACCCACTTCAGCTTATGCCGATGTGTGTGTCAAGTGAGATGATGTATGTGAAAGCTTTCTGAAGCTATAAGATGTTTGACGTTGTATGTCAGAGGAAACCTGGGAAGAACCCTGACCTGGTTACCAGGTTCCCTGGGTTTGAATCTGTGTTCTGCTGATTATGAGATGTGGGGTCCTGAACTGTGTATTTTTGTTTATAAAGTGGAAGTCACAGTGCCTTACTGACCTATTGTGAAGCCCAGATGAGGTTGTTTGGACAGATTTTGATCATTGGAAAGTGTAATTACTGATGTCAGGTGGCACTGTGATGCTGTATAGATGGAAGAACAAGTTGAAAGATGAAGAAATTGTTGTTAGGTGATAACACCTGTTTCATTTTTCTTGAAATGAGTTTAAACCATTCAGTGTTTTCTTTTTTAAAAAAAGTTTGACGTTTTCTTGTAAGCGATATGTAAGTGGTGGTGGCTACATAATTTCTCCCCAGAAACCTTTCTCCAACTCCCTCTCGGTATTCATGGTGGTGCCTGGTGGCACCATCTGCCAGGTACCTCGGGATGGGTCACCTGAGTTGTCCCTCTTCCAACCAGTCCACTCCTCTGGTCCTGCCCCACAGCTAGTCCTCCCCTGGGTCTGGGGCAGCACCGTGGCTGTGAGCCACTGCTGTGGCCTCCAGCCAACCCGTAGCTTCCTCCCCGTCCCCCTTCAGTCTATTCTGCTCAGGGTTTCTAAGTGAGTAAGCAGTACTGAACACACTGGAGTGCAAAAGGAAAGTATTTAAAAATTTTGGGGGCTACAAGTTTAATTTTGTTACTCTGAGTATTAAAGTGGCCTGATATTCGACCTCATTTAACAGAGTTTTCTTTTTTGAAAGTTGCTCTCTTTTGGATGTTTTTTATTTTTTGCCTTTTTGCTCCAGGTAAAAGTTGTTCTTTAAGCTTATTTTTCTTAGTCTCTATTTGTGTTTATGTTCTGTGTCTTGATTATGCAAAGAACCAGGCCAGCAGAATCCCATAGATTCTGGTTCTTAATTTTTAAAAATATCATGACTCCTTTAACTTCACAGAGGTTGGAGGCAGGATGGACTTCCATATTTCCTGCCATGAGGCCCCAACCAGGACCAGTTGGTTCTTCTCTGTGTTGTAGGTTTGTGAAGTTTTCCATGCCCAGCGTTCCTGACTTCGAGACGCTGTTCTCCCAGGTTCAGCTCTTCATCAGCACCTGCAACGGGGAGCACATCCGCTATGCAACAGACACCTGTAAGGGCAGCGCCTTTTCTCCTCCATGGATGTGTTCTGCCCTGTACTCACTTACATCTTCAATATTTTGTTATTGTGTCTAGTTGCTGGGCTTTGCCATCAGCTAACAAATGCACTTGTGGAAAGAAAACAGGTAAGAATGTTGTTTGAGTATTTACAGCTTTGTTTCATGTGTGTGTAACCTGCGCAATGCGCCGAGCATTAGGGTCCCAGCCTCATGCTGAGACCCTGATGCTCAGATATATGTGATGGGTGAGGAGAGCTCAGAACGTCTCCCGGGGGAGCTCTGACCACAGGAGAGGTGCCTCCAGGGCGCAGCTGCTGCTTATGTTTGGAATGGCCCTTCTAGTGCTCTTCATGTTATAAAATGCAGATTTTGTTTGTTTGTTAAACCTTTTGTGTGTGTTAGTCGCTGAGTCGTGTCCAGCTCTTTGTGACCCCTTGGAATGTAGCTCGCTAGGCTCTTCTGTCCGTGGAATTCTCCAGGCAAGAACACTGGAGTGGGTTGCTATTCCCTTCTCCAGGGGATCTTCCTGACCCAGGGATAGAACCTGCACCTCCCACATTGCAGGTAGATTCTTCACCATCGAAGCCACCAGGGAAGCACTTCTTGTTAAACCTTTTAATTTGTAATTATGACCTGATTTTCACTTTATAAGAAGTTGTTAGGTTGGTATAATTAATTGCCATAAATGCCCTCCACCCGGAGTCCCTAGGTGTTAGTATCTTCCCTAACCTGCTCAGTCTTGTCTCCTTCCTTTCTGAGCCACAAGAAAGAAGGTCACAGCTATGGTCCCCACACTGAGAGCTCAGTGAGTGTTTCTTCAAAACTAGGCCAACTTAGAATGTTCCCTAATGTCACCGCAGCACGACATCAGAAAACAAACATGTATAGAACCCTTTAACACATTTGACTTCATTACGCTTCGACCAGTTGTTTTTGCTAATGTCTTTTGTGACTAAAGATAATCTCGGATCACAGGTTGAATTACATTATTGTGTCTCTTTAGTCTCCTGTATTTATTTTTTTCATTTAACTTAGCTCTGTAGTGCCAAACGAAGAGTTTAGCAGTATTAATTTGTAGTGTTGTGCCTGAAACTTTGTCATGTTATCTGTCTACAAAGAGGAAAGGAAAGTGAAGTCGCTCAGTCATGTCCGACTCTTTGTGACCCCCATGAACTGCAGCCTCCCAGGCACCTCTGTCCATGGGATTTTCCAGGCAAGAGTACTGGAGTGGGTTCCCATTTCCTTCTCCAGTCTTTAGTCTCCTTTAATCTAGTGAAGTCTTTATTTATTGTGATACTGACACAGGTTATGATTTGGATGTTTCTTTTTGATTTGAAATTGAATTTTAAAAGACTGATGGTGTGAAAGAGCCTGAAAACAAAGACTCAGTTGATATTTTGTAGGTGTACTACCTAACTGTTGTTTGAGGGAGCTGGTTAAAAATATCCAATCAGTCTTCACTGAGGAAAACTTGTGAGTTCCTCCCCTCCTTTGTGGTCACATCTTCTCCCCAGAAGCTGATTGCACCTCATGTGATTCTCGGTCTTGTTATTCACGATCAGGGCAGGAAAATGGTCTGTTTGTAGCTTGTGGTATCACTTTCAACAGTAATTTACCATCAGGTAAGAGATGTTGCTGAAGAGAATTTACAGGTGACCCCCCAGACTGTCCTGCAGGAAAGGGCCAGCAGTTAAGTTCTCAGTTAAGTCTCCCAAACACAGGTCTGTGGTTAATGATTCGGAAAATTGTTGTTTGTTTACCTATAAATATAACGAACTGTTGAGAATGTAATGTTGCTTTTGATTATTGATCTCACATTAATTAGAAAAAGCTTTCTGATTTTAAAAAGTTGTGCTAATTACTCTAAATATGACAGTAAACAGCCTAAGATGACACTTTTTGACTGAACAGAGACAGAAGTTTCTCCAGAGGCTGTGGGAACCCCCTCCTGTCGTTTAGAGGAGCCTGCCTATAGGCTTACTTTCATTTGTAAGGGACAGCCTAGGACCCGGCGTGCCGCCCCCACTGAGGCCCTAACTGACAGGCCTTTTTCTGACAGCCCCTGCGAGGAATCGGCGTCCTTAGGCAGGCCATTGACAAGATGCAAATGAACACAAACCAGCTCACCTCTGTGCACTCGGACCTCTGCCAGGTGAGCACCTGAGGGTCACCCGGGTCAAGGTTGGACGTGGTTGGGATGGCCCCATGTTTTAAGTGTCAGAAGCTGCACTTTTGCTGGAAGGGAATGTTGGGGCTGCTGACCACCAGCCATGGGCTGCCACCCAGCCAGTCAGTGTGATGCGAGAGCAGGTTGGGGTCAGGGGTGGTGCTTGTGATCCTGACAGCACTCCCAGTAGGAACTCTGGGACCTGAGAACTAACTGGTGACTTCTCACACCTGAAGATGTTACTTGTTTGTTTATTTTGTGTGACTCGAAACCCAGATGGCAAAGGAGGAATATGTGTAATGAAGCCTGCCTCTACCTGCTCCCTCGCCACCCATCCTTCCTTTCCAGAGGAAGCTGGAGTTGATCATTTCTTCTGCAGCCCTCCAGAGACAGTTTAGGCACACACCAGCAGATACCTGTTTATTTTTGTTTCTCTAGTTTAAACACAAATAGTAACAATCTATACAATGTCTTTTTCCTACATACTGTGTCTTGGAGATGATTTTGTGTTAGTGCTTTATAGCCACAGAGAACTCCATACCGTGGGTTTAGCCAGTCTCTGTGGGGTATCCAGATTGTTCCCTTAATGAATAGCATGGTATGTGGATTATTTCAACCACATCTTCTCACCTCACATGGAGATGTGCATTCTTTTCTCTTTTTTTCTCTTGAAGCACTTTTGTGGTGGAAGTGTGACGGGCACACGGTAGAGTTTGAGTCTTAGGTGTGCAGGGTTTGCACCCCTGTCTGCCTGGTTCCTCTCTCACCCAGGCCTGAGGGCTCTGCCGGTCCTGCTTTCTTGGGCTGCACATTCTCTGCTCATAGTCAAGGGAGTCAGAGCAGGCAAGGAGATATCTGAGAAGCTATGCCCGTGCCGCCAGGGCAGCGGAGAGCAGAGCCCACACTTGTGCATCTAAGAGATGCCCGGGTTTTGCTTCGCTTGTGAGCTCTTTGTGTCACAGCTGGTTAGCCTTTTCCAAAGAAATGCTGTTTTATTCCGAATCCCTAAGAAGATGGAAGGATGTGTTATTTAAATCATTCTAGTCAGTAAGATGTAAAGCCAAGTGCTTTCTAGAACTTTCTGGGTTTTCTCCTTTTGCTGAACTATGCCGAAGTGCATGTGGAGTGATGGCTGCATGTATCTCTCTCCACAGCTGTGTTTGCTGGCAAAGTGCTTTAAGCCAGCCCTACCATACCTGGATGTGGACATGGTGGACATCTGCAAGGAGAACGGGGCCTATGACGCCAAGCACTTCCTGTGCTACTACTACTATGGCGGGATGGTCTACACCGGACTGAAGAACTTCGAGCGGGCACTCTACTTCTATGAGCAGGTGGTCACTCCCCCAGCTTGGGGCGTATGTGTGGTCAGAGAGGCGTGCCTTGACTGGTGGCAGGGGCCCGAGGCAGGGAGGGACTCGAATTCTCTCTGGTGCGGGTTGAGTCCTGTGTGTCTCTGGATGTTTGTGGCTTCCTCTGTATGTGAGGAAGCAGTGAGCCCAGTGGTCTTTGTCGTGTTTTCTTGTCCTGAAGTGAGGTGTGAAGTTGGGTTAAGTTTTTTGCTTTTTTTTTTTTTTGGTCCATGCTGCGTGGCTTACAGTATCTTAGTTCCCCAAGCAAGGACTAAACCCAGGGCCATAGCAGTGAAAGCACTGAACCCTAACTCTGAACTGTCAGGGAATTCCCAAGTTTTTCTTGTTTTAATAAATAAAACATTCTCCTGGTTCATAATTCAGAGTATGTAAAGGAGTTCAGAGAAGAAAGTGCCTCCCCTCCACCCTTTTGTGTCTGTGATGAGATGTGCATTTCTGGAGGCTCGCTCAGGGCCTAAAAAGACAGGACTGGGTAGAAACAGTGTTTTAAGATGAACTTGTCAGATGTTCAGAAGTTCCGTTTGATTTGGAGTGCACGTTCTGGTAATCAAAGGTGCTCTGAACTCGTTGGAGGAGCTCAGAGTGTATCTGAGATTCTGTGCAAGCTTGTGCACACACCTGTGAGTGGGTGTGGCCTTGGGCAGTGGGACTGACTAGCGTTGCTGGGGCCTGGGACAGGGTGACTAGAGGTGCTGCTGGGCAGGGGACATGACTGATACCAGACAGACATCTTTTTTTACTGCTTTTCTGAAACATTCCAAAAGATATACTTGCTAAAAAAACAAACAAACAAACCCAACACCTCAAATCACACAGCATTACATAAAGTGACGAGTGAGAACTGCATCCACCTTTCACCCCGAGCACAGGTGGCCCTGATGCTCCCTGGCCCCCGGCGGGCAGGCCCTTCAGCAGGTTCTGCTGCTTCGTGTGAAAGCGGTGCTGCCTGGGATCGTGCTTGTCTCCTCACGCTCTTACAGGAGTGTTTCTGTGGAATAACTCAGAAAGGCCTTAAGGGCCCAGGGGCTTGGATTTTGTTTGGGACACTTGGGCCGATTTGGGTGATAGATTTGGATTCTTAACCTTCATGAATCCATGTGAAAGAAGGTAGAAAGGCAGCCACAGAAGAGGGGAAAATACTTGAAGGTGATGTTTCTGAAAACAGACTCACATCCAGAATGTGCAGAGGTGTCAGAATTCAACAGTAAAAACCCTAAAGTTTTATTATTTTTTTTTATTAGTTGGAGGCTAATTACTTTACAATATTGTAGTGGGTTTTGTCATACATTGACATGAATCAGCCATGGATTTACATGTTTTCCCCATCCCGATCCCCCCTCCCACCTCCCTCTCCGCCCAATCCCTCTGGGTCTTCCCAGTGCACCAGGTCCTAGCACTTGTCTCATGCATCCAGCCTGGGCTGGTGATCTGTTTCACCCTAGATAATATACATGTTTTGATGCTGTTCTCTTGAAACATCCCACCCTCGCCTTCTCCCGCAGAGTCCAAAAGTCTGTTCTATACATCTGTGTCTCTTTTTCTGTTTTGCATATAGGGTTATCGTTACCATCTTTCTAAATTCCATATATATGTGTTAGTATACTGTAATGGTCTTTATCTTTCTGGCTTACTTCACTCTGTATAATGGGCTCCAGTTTCATCCATCTCATTAGAAATGATTCAAATGAATTCTTTTTAATGGCTGAGTAATATTCCATGGTGTATATGTACCACAGCTTCCTTATCCATTTGTCTGCTGATGGGCATCTAGGTTGCTTCCATGTCCTGGCTATGATAAACAGTGCTGTGATGAACATTGGGGTGCACGTGTCTCTTTCAGATCTGGTTTCCTTGGTGTGTATGCCCAGAAGTGGGATTGCTGGGTCATATGGCAGTTCTATTTCCAGTTTTTTAAGAAATCTCCACACTGTTTTCCATAGCGGCTGTACTAGTTTGTATTCCCACCAACAGTGTAAGAGGGTTCCCTTTTCTCCACACCCTCTCCAGCATTTATTGCTTGTAGACTTTTGGATAGCAGCCATCCTGACTGGCGTGTAATGGTACCTCATTGTGGTTTTGATTTGCATTTCTCTGATAATGAGTGATGTTGAGCATCTTTTCATGTGTTTTTTAGCCATCTGTATGTCTTCCTTGGAGAAATGTCTGTTTAGTTCTTTGGCCCATTTTTTGATTGGGTCATTTATTTTTCTGGAGTTGAGCTGGAGGAGTTGCTTGTATATTTTTGAGATTAATCCTTTGTCTGTTGCTTCGTTTGCTATTATTTTCTCCCAGTCTGAGGGCTGTCTTTTCACCTTGCTTATAGTTTCCTTTGTTGTGCAAAAGCTTTTAAGTTTCATTAGGTCCCATTTGTTTATTTTTGCTTTTGTTTCTAAAATTCTGGGATGTGGGTCATAGAGGATCCTGCTGTGATTTATGTCGGAGAGTGTTTTGCCTATGTTCTCCTCTAGGAGTTTTATAGTTTCTGGTCTTACGTTTAGATCTTTAATCCATTTTGAGTTTATTTTTGTGTATGGTGTTAGAAAGTGTTCTAGTTTCATTCTCTTACAAGTGGTTGACCAGTTTTCCCAACACCACTTGTTAAAGAGGTTGTCTTTTTTCCATTGTATATCCTTGCCTCCCTTGTCGAAGATAAGGTGTCCATAGGTTCGTGGATTTATCTCTGGGCTTTCTGTTCTGTTCCATTGATCTATATTTCTGTCTTTGTGCCAATACCATACTGTCTTGATGACTGTGGCTTTGTAGTATAGTCTGAAGTCAGGCAGGTTGATACCTCCAGTTCCATTCTTCTTTCTCAAGATTACTTTGGCTATTCGAGGTTTTTGTATTTCCATACAAATTGTGAAATTATTTGTTCTAGTTCTGTGAAAAATACCGTTGGTAGCTTGATAGGGATTGCATTGAATCTATAGATTGCTTTGGGTAGTATAGCCATTTTGACAATATTGATTCTTCCAATCCATGAACACAGTATATTTCTCCATCTGTTTGTGTCCTCTTTGATTTCTTTCATCAGTGATTTATAGTTTTCTATGTATAAGTCTTGTTTCTTTAGGTAGATATATTCCTAAGTATTTTATTCTTTTTGTTGCAATGGTGAATAGTATTGTTTCCTTAATTTCTCTTTCTGTTTTCTCATTGTTAGTGTATAAGAATGCAAGAGATTTCTGTGTGTTAATTTTATATCCTGCAACTTTACTATTATTCGTTGATTAGCTCTAGTAATTTTCTGGTAGAGTCTTTAGGGTTTTCTATGTAGAGGATCATGTCATCTGCAAACAGCGAGAGTTTCACTTCTTCTTTTCCTATCTGGATTCCTTTTACTTCTTTTTCTGCCCTGATTGCTGTGGCCAACACTTCCAAAACTATGTTGAGTAGAAGTGGTGAGAGTGGGCACCCTTGTCTTGTTCCTGATTTTAGGGGAAATGCTTTCAATTTTTCACAAAACCCTAAAGTTTTAAAACAGGCGACAGATTTGAAGTCAGAGCCATGGTGTGGCACCAGGTCACACAGCAGGCTCTTGTGATGGGGCGCTGGCTGCTGACAGGGGTGTGGGGTTCAGAGCCCTTATCATGGCCAGTGGGATGCTCAGTGGTGTGGCCCCTTTGGAAACAATCTGGGGGTTCCTCAAGCAGTTACACCTGAAACCTCTGTGTGACCCAGCACTTCCACTCCAAGGGTTACACCTGAGAGAAGTGACAGCAGACATCCACCTAGACACACACATGAATGTTCTCAGCAGCGAGAGCCATGTGGCCAGACGCCCACCAGCCGACGTGGTCTCTCTTTACGTGGAGCACCGTTTGCCTGAAACATAGAATAGGTTGTGACACAGGTTACTTCAGCATGTGCTCTGAAATTGTCACAATGAAGCTGCTCACATAAGACCCTGTGAAGCCATTTATGGGAACTTCCCAGCACTCCAGTGGTTAGGATTCCATGCTCTCACTGCCAAGGGCCTGGGTTTAATCCCTGGTTGCGGAACTAAGATTCCATGAGCTACACAGCACAGCCAAGAGGCGGGAGGGGAAGCCATTAATATGAAATGTCCAGAGCAGGTAAGTCCTTGAACAAGACTTGAAGTGGAGGAGTGGATGCTGGTATGGGCAGTGACCCCTGCTCAGCAGGGTTTCTTTTTAGGAGGGTGAAAATGTCCTGAAATTAGGTAGCAGGAACAGTTGCAATTTGGTGATCATGCCAAAGCCAAGTCGTCATTAAAGGCAGTGACTGGATGTCAGAGAGTACTCTATCCTCATTCTGATATTCCTCTCCACCCAGGCCATCACCACACCTGCCATGGCTGTCAGTCACATCATGTTGGAGTCATATAAGAAGTATATCCTGGTCTCTCTGATCCTGCTGGGCAAAGTACAGCAGCTGCCGAAATACACCTCTCAGATTGTGGGTAGATTCATTAAGGTGAGCTTTCAAAACAATGATTCTCAGCTGACATGTTCTGTTCCTATAAAGCTGTGGTGATTCATAATTCTGTAATCTATGTGACTTGACTTTCCTGGCATCTTCAATTAGCAGACGTTCTCGACGTCCCCTGGGCGTCTGGCAGGACCCTGACTGTCCTTGTCCATGCCCACCAATCCCCTGATGGGGTGGGGTGTTCCCCGGAATCTGCGTCCACACTGTTGCTCTGGGTGGTCATGGTGTAGGGGTTTAAGGTTCTGATAGAGCATTGCTGGCTCTGTTGGACTTGAACTCTGACTAGGCGCTGGGAGATCCTCTTAGACCCAAAGCTTTGCTCACTGAGCTGCTATGGTTTTCCTAAGGACTCAGCCCCAGGACCATGTGGAGAAATGACCTCTTTTTTTATTTTCTCGTAATTCATGCTTATTTTCTTTTAAATTGATGTCACTATCATTTGATATCAATTTTGTGCTGACCCTCCTTGAACAAAACTCAAAGTTTCAGGAGGGCAGTTTGAAAGTCTTCCTGATGTGAGGGTTTCTGTGCTGTCATGTTGAGCGTTGCTCGTGTCCTTCAGCTACCCATCGTGGTTCTTGGGCTCCAGGCTGCGTGTCACAGACGGGCGTGTGGGGGTGGGTGAGAGGCCCTCGGAGCCCATGGAAGAGTGACGCGGGTTTGGAGAACTCCCGAAGGTGGCCCCCATGGCCCTGGAGAGTGACCTGTTCCAGGAGGAGTACTTTCGTAAGTGGGGTCCTCATGACTCACCTCCTTCACGAGAGCTGCGGTTTGTTAACGGAGTGTGACGGAGTGGTGGTTAACGGAGTGGTGACGAGGGCTCAGGCCTCAGGGTAGGGCTGCTCAGCTCTGCTCGCCGGCTCCTGCAGCCCTGCCCCGTGTCTGACAGGGAAGATGAGGAGCCGTGTCGCCCAGGTGGTGGACACAGCTCCGCTCTGAGGGGCCCTCAGCCCGGGGGTCTCTTGTTCCCCCGGAAGCAGTCAGTTGTCCCATGGCACCTGGTGAGGCACGTGTGGAGCAAGAGGGGGCTGAGAAGGGTGGGTGTTTGCCTTCTTTCTTCCCAAGGTGGTTTATCTGGGACAAGTCAGGAGCTGCCTGTGAGAAAAAGGCCTGTGGCCGTCACTGAATGCAGGCTCCAGCCCTGCTCTGTACTACACAAGGAGCTCCATGGTAAACTTCTCTCCTTGGTCTTGAAAACTAGGCATTTGCTTGGAGTAACTTACAGTTTGCTGGGTAACAGTAAGGGACGCTGGACCTCCTTGCTCCACAATTAGTGCCATGTTTCCTTTTGCCTCTCACACAGGCTCTGTTCTGCTAACTGTCGAATCTGGTTTCTTCCCACCTGCACACCTTTAGCCTCTTAGCAATGCATACCACGAGTTAGCGCAAGTGTACTCCACCAACAACCCCTCGGAGCTCCGCAGCTTGGTGACCAAGCACAGCGAGACCTTCACACGCGACAACAACATGGGGCTGGTGAAGCAGTGCCTGTCCTCTCTGTATAAGAAGAACATCCAGAGACTCACCAAGGTGCGGTCCTGTGGCCTCCAGAGCCAGGCTCCATTCCCCTGGCCTTGTGGGCACTGAGGCAGCAGCGTGGGGTCCCAGTCAGTCCTTTGGGGACTTTGAGGGGTGCCTTTCTGGGGCTAGTATGGGGTATTTGAGAAGAGGAACAGGTGAAGAGGAAGTGGGGAGGAGACGTGGCTCCTCTGGGAGGCAGACAGGTAGCTGAAGGGAGGGAGATGGCCCGGGCAGATGCTAAGGGTGCAGCTGTGTGGCCCAGGACCTCACAGCAGGCTAACCCACCCGTGGGCGCTTGGCTGGTGCACTTGAGCTGGGGAAGGTAAGCCAACTGTGTAGTTTTTATTTTTTAAGATGAAAATAGACCCAGTGGCTTTTGATGTTGGAAAATATGCTTATTATCAAGTGTTAAGACTGTCCAGGAAAGTGTAAAAAGAAAACAAAGCCTTATGTGAGCCAGGGAGGTGGAGATGTTCACTGTAGGTAATGGGAAACCGGCAAAGAACAGCTGCAATAAGGCGGGGGGGGGGGGGGGGGCAGCTCTTCCCCACCCACCCCCTGAGACACAGCCCTGCGAGGACGCAGTGGATGAGATGGCTGGCTGCCAGGCAGCCGGGGGCACGGGATTGTCACGGGTGCTCAGACTTGCTCCACAATCATGTTCTGGGGACATTTCTCTGGATCTGTCTGCTCCATGTGTGCGAACACTCCCACTGACTGTAACCAGGGTCATAACGCTATGTGCTGTTCTGTATCCTCTCTTCTGGTTTCTATGGCAATGTAAGCCTGTATCACAGTGACTGTACATTGTGCTTTGTTGTACAGATGATCATAACTTTCTCAGCTAGTTCTCTTCTGATGGACAGTCAAGTGGAAGTTTCTTACTTTGAAAGGAAAAATGTTCACCTTTCTAGTCCTCACTGGTGCTAAACTACCTAGATACTTCTTAGAATTCACAGGAGTTTCATTTGGGAAGGAGGCGCTACTCTGAACTAAAGTATATATAGAGATTTTTTGGTCATTGGCTTATCAAGAATTTTCAACATCAGAATCTTAACAAGGCCTGCTTTGAGAATGCATTGTATTTACAGCTGGCTGTTGTAAATACTGCCCAAAAAAGGGGGCTCTTTTAATTTGTTCCTGAATGGCGTTTTCATCAGGTCCCAGGCAGACCATGATAAACACTGGTTTCCTTTTAACCCTCAATGTGTTTACACATTCTGACTTTGAATTTTGAAGGATGAATCTGTTTTCTATTTTTTAATTTCACATTATTTACAAGGTAATATATTTACAATACAAAATGCAAAGACAGAAAAATCTCCACCTAGTTCCTATACTGCAGCTGGCTTTTTCTTTCCCAGAGGCAACCCAGCGTCACTGCTTCTCCGGCATCCCTGCAGAGAGTGTATAAGCACATGCATTCACACACCTATGTGCTGTCACACATATGCACATTTTCCTTATTCAGAGATATGAGCCAGATATAGACCCTGTTCTGTGCCCCTTTTTACGTTTAATGATGTGCATGTCTTCAATTTCAGCTCATAAAAAGCATCCTCATTTTGTAAGGTTTTTTATAGCCGTGTAGGAGTCCATTTGTGTGCTTTTCCTGCACTCAGCCAGTCCTCTGCTGACAGATATCTGGGCGGTTCCGACCTTTGCCATCACAGGTAGAGCTGCAGCGAGCACACTGGCACACACATCATTCTAGACCCAGGAAGCACGTGGTGGGTGTTTCCTAGAAGTCATTGCTCTAGAAAACTGATGCTGAAACCTTAGCTCATCCAGTTCAAGTCATCTTTGCAACAGAAAGCTAGCTTGTACACTGTTGGGAAGCAAGTGTTCAGTGACTTAGTAGGAGTCTACACATTTAGTAGAATTTCTCTCTCCAGTCTGTTTCTACCTGTGATTAATTAACTTCTGAATTTCAGACATTTTTAACACTGTCGTTACAAGATATGGCGAGTCGCGTGCAGCTGTCCGGGCCTCAGGAGGCAGAAAAGTATGTCCTGCACATGGTAAGTGTGTTTCTGTTTTTAGAAGTTACTTAGTGGAGTTTTGTCCTTGTAAAGTTTACTGGTGTTCACTGTGGGAGACGTAGAGGAGGAGGCAGGGTACCCAGTGTCACCACTATGGGTGATCCGTCAGCTTCCTCACAGTTGGGGTTTTCCTGGGACATGTGCACGTGTGTCCAGCACAGTCATGTCCTGAGGACGTTCCTGGTCATCACAGCCAGGGAGTGCTGCTCATAGCAAGCGGAGTCGGGTCTTGCACGCAGGGGGTGCTCCCACCGCAAAGAATTCTCTGGCTCAAAACGTCAATACTGCCAAGCCTGAAAAAATCCTGTCCTACCGTGTAAAGTTTATGAAGGCAGGGATTTTTGTTTTTAAATAAGATTTTATTTTTTTATAGCAATTTGAGGTTCACTGCCAAATTGAGGGCAAAGTAAAGAGTTCCCAGTCCCCACACAAAATCATAGCCTCCCCTGATCAGTATCCCCACCAGACAGGGCCGTTGTCATAGCTGATGCTCCTCCACTGACAGGTCTTCATCCAAAGTCCTTAGGTTACATCAGGTTTGTTCACGTGTTGGACACTCTGGGTTTGGATAAATGTGCATGGACATGAATCTGTCATGACCACATCACGTGGAGCATCCACTCTGCCCTGCTGATGCCCTGTGCTCTGCCTGTTCCTTACCACCCCTCCCACTACTGACCTTTTCATTTTCTCCAGTTTTGCTTTTTTCACAATGTCATATGGTTGGAATCATACAGTGTGTAGCCTTCTCAAACCAGGTTCCAGCCCTGCATCTGCCTAGAAAGGTTATTTTTATCCTGACTTGTAATGTCCCATTTTTAGTGGTGTCGCATCTTTGAGCTTCTTATGAAAGGGAATATATAACATATGTACTCAGACGTCTGGCTGCTTCTGCTCAGCGTCACAAGCCCCAGGCACTGTGTTGTGGTTGCAGCCTGCTCACGTTCAGGGTTGCAGCATTCCACGACATGAGTCCATCAGGTAGACACGGGGGTGGTTTCCTGTTGTGGTTTTACAGAGCATGCTGCTGGTGAACCTGGTATGCATTTCCACTAGGTGTGTTCTGTCTGCTATGAGATCCTCCATGTGTTCACAGAGTCATGGAGTCACGCCTTGTGTTCGGTTGTGTTTGGCTGCAGGCATTTCATTAACTAGGACCACGTCCCCCAGGCTGGAGATAGCAACCAGCCCAGGCAGCTCAGCTCCACCATCCCAAATGGAGCATCACTGCTGCTGGGGCATGGTGTGTCAGGAATGACAGCACCCTTTTGGGATTTTCTCTCGGCTGCTCCATTTTTAGCTGCATGGACAGGATTTGGCTATGAGGATCAGTCAACTTAACCCCTGTTGTTGATGCAAGTAAAAAATGTACACCTTGAAGCTGCCTTGGAATCAACATTGGCAGGAAAATTTTCTTAAAAGGACGAGAGGATAATTGCTACTGGAGTAAACCAAAAATTTGTTAGGGCTTCACTTTTGTAAAACACAAGGACGATTTCAATTATATCTCATAGAAGTTGTCTAAAGATTCAAGGGTACTTCAGAATATCTGTGCCAGAGAAGCCAGACACATAGGACCACTCACTGTCTGACTCCACTTACACAAAACCTCAGAACAGGCATGCGCACAGTGTGGAGAACACACAGGTGGATGTGGGGCTTGAGAGGAGGGGGCTGGGCAGTGCCTAGGCAGACGGGGCGGGGGCCCCGGGTGGCACTGAGATCTTTTGACGCTGGTAGAGGTGTTACCTGTGCATCACAGGTGTAGTTGAATCTACTGAATTGTTCCCTTTAAAATGGTTGACTAGGGGATGTCCCTGGTGGTCCAGTGGCTAAGTCTGTGGCCTACTCTGCACAGGGAGCGGGTTCAGTCCTTGGTTGGGGAACTAGGACCCTGCAGGCCATGTGGCACAGTCAAAGAAAAGGTTAACTCACTTTATGTGGACTTTACTCCTTAGTGTCTCATGGTGCCCAGCACATATTAGGTATTTAAGAGAGAGAAGAGAGTTGAGGAAACAGGTGGAGCCTAAAACACTTACAGATTGATTTACTTATTGCTCTCTGTGATTTCCCCTGACTGCGTTGAAACACCACTTTTTCACATAGTGTTTGGGGCTAAACTATCTTCCTGATTTCTCTTTTATAGATAGAAGATGGCGAGATTTTTGCAAGTATTAATCAGAAGGATGGGATGGTCAGTTTCCACGATAACCCTGAAAAATACAACAACCCTGCCATGCTTCACAACATCGACCAGGAGGTAACACAAACGCCAGCGCTCTGGGCTGATGTCTGTGATATTACACTTGAAGTACTGCTTCTGTGTTCCAGGATAATTTTAGTTTTGAATATAGGTAGTTCCCAACTAGTTTCTAAGAACATTTTATTTCCTAGAAAGTTAATTTCAAAATGGACTCTTCCTGATTGTCTGGTTATAAATAAATCGTAGGTTAGCATCCTTGTCCAGTTTGTCAGAGCCTCCTTCAACTCCTGAAATGCTTGGAGAGTACAGCATTTCAGTACAGTTTCATGTGTACCCAGTAGCCACTTATACTGTGGAGCCTTCAGTAACTTGAATCTGGAGTCCCGAGTCAGAAGGTCAGAGGGTAGCAGGCAGCGGGGAGGAAGGCCGGCTGTGGTTCCCGCTGGGCAGCAGCCATGAGCCAGGGAGCTGCTGCCTCTGCACCGCGGCCCATGCTGCTCTCAGGGCCTCTGAGCGTGAGCTGGGCTCGCAGGGGCCAGCTGGCTTCTTGCCTATGACAGGCAAATGGATTCAACCAAACAGTAGCTTCAGAATATGAAAAGCAGTAAGTCACCAGAGTCTCTTTTTGGCAATTCCAAATTTTTTTAAAACCCTGAAAGCTGGAAGTATTTTTTTCTTTTTTTTGGAAGTATTTTTTGTAACTCGTTTGGTGTCAGATGCCACCTGAAATGACACTTATGTCAACATTTTTAGGTTTCACTGCCAAAGATGGTCATGTGTTTAGTTTAATTATGGGGTGGCAGGCAATGTGCACTATTGTGCTGTTAACTGTCTGATCCCAAATTCTGACTCCAGGACCTATCTGGCCCAGGGCTGTGACCTTGCAGCACCCAAATAGTCTAGGCTCAAAAGGATAAACTTGCCCTGAACCCACCTGCTCAGCCTGTCCACCTGCCTCCACACAGATGCTGAAGTGTATAGAGCTGGACGAGCGGCTGAAGGCTATGGATCAGGAGATCACTGTGAACCCCCAGTTTGTGCAGAAGGTGATTGGGGTCCCCTCGTTAACGGAAGTATGCTGGAGGGGGCTGTGTGGTGTCCCCGTAATAGTGAAGTTCACGGAGACGTGCTCATGGAGGGCATTTCCACACTCCAGGCTGGAAGTGTGTTTAGAGGTGGGGGTGGGGGTCATAGAACTGCCTCCCTGTTACACAGGGTGATATCCTCTGGGGATGCTGGCGGGAAGCTCTTGCCCGGGCAGGCAAGTGCACTGTCTCCCGCCTCCCTCCCAGAGCATGGGGTCACAGGAAGATGACTCGGGAAACAAGCCGTCCAGTTACTCGTGAAGCCGACACCCATCCTGATTCAGAGAAGCCATTGCCCATCCCTGTGGCCGGACAGGTGTCAGGAGGCGGCTGGAGGATCAGGCCCATCTCACCTGGACGTAGACACAGCGCATTTTGTTTTGATGTCTTCAGTCCTGTGTGCTTTCAGTAAACCATTCTCTGTGAAGATGGAAAACATTTTCAAACTTCAAAGCCTGTTGTGGGTTTATTTATCCTCAGATTAATGTTTTTGTTGCATTAAATCTGCCTTTTTGTTTTAAATTATTTGAACATTGGTTCGTTTTCTGTATCACCTTTTCCCTCTGAAAAGCTTTTAAAGAACATGTTCATTCTGAACAGATGTAGATTTTAGGAGTTGTTGGAAGATTTGAATCTAAAGTTGATATAAAAAAAAATAAAAAATAAAGTTGATATCAATTGCCTTTAAAAAAAAAAAAAGCTGAGAGGAGAAAAAACATCTGGGAGAATCTCCCAGGCAGAATCCAGTGTTTCAGAATTAAATTACCATGCATGTGAGCCATAGGATGCATTCTGAATTAAAGAGATACCCTTGTAGTCTTGGGAACCTTCGTGTGTGTAGCGCTCTTCTGTTTGTGAGATGAAGGGCAGACTTGCCCGCTCTTTTTCTACAAGCATTTTCTGTCCACCCTCACAGCTGCGTTTGGATTTTGCTCAGGGTCCCCCCTCTTCAGGACTCTGGGATGCATCTGACTCGGGTCCCCCGAGTTGGTCCCAGGATGGTGTGGAGACTGAAAAGTGCGGTCGGATACAGTGGAATTAGGTCCCTAAAGAGCGTCTCCCTTGTGAGTAGCAGTCACTGTTTATGATGTGTCAAGTTGTGTGATCACTACATTTTCATTGTTTACAAAAGGAAACTCTGAAATCTCATGCCAAAGGAACTCTGAAATCTCATGCCTAAGGAGTCACCCCAGTAGAAAAGCTTTGAGGCTGTGTGGTCCATCATGGCACCCACTGCTGTGCTGCAGGAAGGCGGCCACAGAGCATCTGATCCATAAGTGCATGGATGAGGCTGGGTCCCAGTGACGCTGTGCTGGCTGTGACCCCCCCGCCCCCCTGTCGAGACTGCTCCCCAACTCAGGTGAGCTGCGTCATTTCCATGCATACTTACACAGGCTTGTACTTAGGAAATACTGAATGGAAATTTCCCTTCTGTCAATGTGGTGAATTACACGTAGTTTTGTTTTGTTAAAAACAACTGGACAACTTCTGATTTACCTGGATCTGAAATAAAATCACCTAAAACATGTTTGAGAATTCTAGTAGGTGGCAGTCATGGCTGTTTAAGTCTAGGGTAACTCATGGGTTCTGATGTGGACACTGTTGATTTTCCCCCAAGATAGTGGTTCACTGAAACGCCACATCATTTTTGAAACTTTGATCTCTAGAGGGGCCTGGTGTTTAGGACCTGGTCCTGTGTTTACAGGGGCCCCTGCTATCTGTAAGGGAAAAGGGGCTAGGTACTTTCAGCCCTCCGCATTGCACCCGCCTCGTGTGTTCTCTGGCTTCGGGGAGGGAAGGTACCCTATATAGGCCCTGGACCCTGGAAGGGTGTCCACCTCACTGCAACGCCTGTGCCCAGGCGGTGATTCCAGCCTAGGAGGCAGGCTTCCTGTGCACACACATCCGGGGCCCCAGTCCACTGGGGACCTCCTCAACCTCCTAAGCTCTATACATTTTGGTAAGACTTGTTTCTTTTTCTGACCCCTGGTTAATGACTCTATTGGGCTTCCCAGGTGGTGCTAGCGGTAAAAAAAACAAAAACCTGCCTGCCTATGCAGGAGACCTAAGAAACGTGGGTTTGATTCCTGGGTCAGGAAGATCCTCTGGAAGAGGGCATGGCTACCCACTCCAGTATTCTTGACTGGAGAATCCTACCGATAGAGGAGCCTGGCAGGCTACACAGTCCATGGAGTTAGAAAGAATCTGACACGCCTCACATAGCGGACCTACTCATTTTCTTAGGACTTTTCAAGTGTGTCTTTTCATGGCACTCCAATGTTAAGAAGTACTCTGAGTTAGTAACTAATGGCCCTCAGAGTTCAGTGCTTGAATAATGTGTGTTTCTATTTGTACTGGTGCCCAGTGAGGGCCCACTCCTCTGCACCCCCCCCCCCCAACACACACTTTGCCCAAGTGACAGTATTCAGCTTTTAGTCTAGACTTTCTTAGGTAGTTATGCTTGGTCTGCAAGGCCTCCAGTTTGGGATATATCAGTATAAAGTGTTCTTTAAAGAAACTTCTAGTTGCATGTATTTTAAATGGCAGAAGGTGTTTTCTGAGCCAAAGAATGGGCAAGCAATAAAGTTACAGAATTTTTCTGCCCTAAATGGAAGTCACCTTCTTGACTGTTGAGTATATTGGAGTCCCAAACAAGGCTAAAATCATGTTACTGTGAACTAGCCTTAGTAACAGGATAGTGCCTGTAGAATCTTAACCAGTTGATGCAGTGGTAAAGCTGTGATTTGATTATATTTTGCAAGACATGAAACATTCAAAAATTAAGCCAATGTTTTGAGTTAGGAAAGGTTTTTTTTTTTTTTTTCCCCATTTAATGTATACTTTAAATAGACATTACTCACAGCATGTTCCTCAACCCACTGGAGCCCTGAGCTTTTGATAAAACAATTTTAGGAAATTGTTTAGACACATTTTTGGTAAATAATGAGTTGGACAAAGTTTCTCAAATTTTTTTTAATCTCACATGTCCTGTGATATGCCAACATGAGCCACAAATACCTGAGAAGTTATTTCTAGATTAATTTGTTTAACTTGAGATATAATTCAATAGGCTCAGTGGTAAAGAATCTGCTTGATAAGCAGGAGACACAGAAGACCTGCCTGAAAAATTCCATGTACAGAGGAGCCTAGCGGGCTACAGTCCATGGGGTTGCAAAGAGTCAGACATGACAGCATGCACACATGCAATCTAACCAGGGACAGATGCTTTCACTTTTCCAGCATGTAATTTGGCATGCCTGTGTGCTCAGTTGCTCAGTCATGCCCAGCTCTTGCGACCCCATGGATTGTAGCCCACCAGGCTCCTCTGTGCATGGAATTCTCCAGGCAAGAATATTGGAGTGGGTTGCCATTTCCTTCTCCAGGGGATCTTCCCAACCCAGGAATCCAACCCATGTCTCCTGAGTCTCCTGCATTGGCAGGCAGATTGTTTACCACTGAACCACCTGGGAAGCCCCATGTAATTTGGTAGAGGGTCTCAAAAGCTGTCAGCTTTTTAAGTGTGGCGCTCATAGGTTCTCTATGCTTGATGACATTCCCTTTTCTGGTCAGCTTATATTCTAGTTCTCTCCTATTACTTGCTTTTCAAAGATGCAGTTTTTGACTTGTAAATTCTAACTTTCTGGGTTTCAATTTGAAACACTAGCCAATTTTTAGAAGAAAATTTGAAAGTGAAGAGTTAATTGCTCAGTGACATCTGACTCTTTGAGACCCCATGGACTGTAGCCCACCAGGCTTCTCTGTCCATGGGGTGTTCTAGGCAAGAATACTAGAGTGGGTCCCCGTTCCCTTCTCCAGGGGATCTTCCCGACCCAGGGATCGAACGTGGGTCTCCTGCATTGCAGGCAGATTCTTTATGGTCTGAGCCACTTCAGTCTCAGTTCAGTTGCACAGTCGTGTCTGACTCTGTGACCTCATGGACTGCGGCACACCAGGCTTTCCTGTCCATCGCCAACTCTCGGAGCTTGCTCAAACTCATGTCCATCTAGTCAGTGATACCATCCAACCATCTCGTCCTCTGTTGTCCACTTCTCCTGCCTTCTACCTTTCCCAGCATCAGGACCTTTTTCAATGAGTCAGCTCTTCGCATCAGGTGGCCAAAGTATTGGAGCTTCAGCTTCAGTGTCAGTCCTTCCAATGAATGTTCAGGACAGATTTCCTTTAGGATTGACTGGTTTGATCTCTGTGCAGTCCAAGTGACTCTCAAGAGTCTTCTCCAACACCACAGTTCAAAAGCATGAATTCTTCAGTGCTCAGCTTTCCTTATGGTCAAACTCATACATCCATACATGGCTACTAGAAAAACCATAGCTTTGACTAGACAGACCTTTGTCGACAGGGTAATGTCTCTGCTTTTCAATATGCTGTCTAGGTTTGTCATAGCTTTTCTTTCAAGGAGCAAGCATCTTTTTTTTTTACCTCTTTTTTTTTTCTTAGTTTATCTTAATTGGAGGCTAATTACTTTACAATATTGTGGTGGTTTTTGCCATACAATCACATGAATCAGCCATGGGTATACATGTGTTCCCCATCCTGACCCTCCCTCCCACCTCTCTCCCCATCCCATCCCTCAGGGTCATCCCAGTGCACCAGCCCTGAGCACCCTGCCTCATGCACCGAATCTGTACTGGCAGTCTATTTCACATATAATAATATACATGTTTCAGTGCTATTCTCTCAAATCCTCCCACCCTCGCCTTCTCCCACAGAGTCCAAAAGTCTGTTCTTTATATCTGTGTCTCTTTTGCTGTCTCGCATATAGGGTCATCATTACCATCTTTCTATATTCCATATATATGTGTTAATATACTCTATTGGTGTTTTTCTTTCTGACTTACTTCGCTCTGTATAATAGGCTCCAGTTTCATCCATCTCATTAGAACTGATTCAAATGCATTCTTTTTAATAGCTGAGTAATATTCCATTGTGTATATGTACCACAGCTTTCTTATCCATTTGTCTGCTGATGGACATCTAGGTTGCTTCCATGTCCTGGCTATTGTAAACAGTGCTGCAGTGAACACTGGGGTACACGTCTGTTTCAGTTCTGGTTTCCTCAGTGTGTATGCCCAGCAGTGGGATCGCTGGGTCCTATGGCAGTTCTTAGAGAAAGAAATGGCAACCCACTCCAGTGTTCTTGCCTGGAGAATCCCAGGGATCCGGGAGCCTGGTGGGCTGCCGTCTATGGGGTCGCACAGAGTAGGACATGACTGAAACGACTTAGCAGCAGAAGCAGCATGGCA